GTAGCTTTTATTCTGTGATTCTGATGAAAATATGGCATATGAGACTGATATAAGTAAAGCTTATATCTATACCTATAGCTAAAATTATTAATATGTTGTCATCTTCTGGTAAGAATAACACATAAATGCCCAGAAAATCATTTACTTGAGATTTTTACTCCTTTTCAGCTGGATTTCTTGCAATGGTCAAGGCGCTGTAGTATATATTAAAGGTCATATCTGAAGAAAAGGCACATTTAGAGTATTGTTCCCATGTACTTTGTCTAAATGCTTTACCATAGTCAATTTCCTAAGTTTTTCTTTCCATTTACATCTTTAAGTAAAAATCCAAGGTGTCACCTAATTTAATGACAGAAATTCAGGAGAGGTGATGGAGCAGAGCAGGAGGCAGAAGGCTCTCTCTCTAGATCTCCCCAAGGCTCCAGGGCTCCAGGAGGAAGCCAGACCAGGAGGGGAGGTGACTGTGCTTGGCTCTGGACTTGGAGTTTTCACCTTTATTCTTCCTTTTTTTTTTTTTTTCTTCATTTCCTTTCACTTGTCAGGAATAGTGCCAGGATTGGTGAAAAGAAGTGAAGTAACATGTCAAATACTGTGAAATCCTTAGAAGAAAGATGGTGTGATACAGAAATCAATGTCATTTCTTATTTCACTGTTAATTATGTCAACTTTCTCTGCCTCTTCATACCATGAGGATTTTTTATTTCTCTTTTATAAAGATATCATTTACTAGCTGGTTCACCCTGGAAGTAACATAGTAAGCCTATTTATTGAGCTCTTGTTCTGTGCTGGAGCGTATAGAAGAGCCTCAGAATATAGGCAGATTCACACAGGCACAGTATTTCCAAGACTCAGTGTAGAAATTTACTAAGTTTTGTCTTTATATGAATCTTGATCCCCACCACCTTGTTACTTAAGAAAAAGTAAAAGTAGTAATGTTTATTTCCTTTTGGAAATGTTTTGAGGACAACATGAGATAAGGTATTGCTAAAGCAAAATTAAAATGGAAACAGAGCCTAAAAAATTCCTGAGCAAGTAAAACTAACTAGATCTTCAAAATAACCTTGTCCTTGCTTAGACTGCAAAAACATGCAAAATTAATTAGGATAATTTTTAGTAAATGATTAAAAATGTTAGATAAATATAAAACAATGTCAGCCAATCATAAGCAGCCTACAGCACATGATTATATGACTAGGGAATTTCCAACAAGATAACAATTAAAAGGGAAATTTTGTATGATTTTTTTGCATACGTATTTTCCCCTTCCGTTATGTTGTTATCAGATCACTAGTCTCTTCAGTGTAGAATTCCCAAATTCATGAATTGCTTCTTACTCAAGCTCTAAAACTTTATGGTCCCTCGATATTTTTCTTTTACAGTATATGCAAGTGGCCAATGGAACAGAAGTAGGAGCTTAACAAGTGTTACTCTTTTTATCCCACTTATGAGATAAAAAGAAAAAGCACATGCATTTCCCCATTTCATATTTATTTTCTTAGAAATGTTATTGGGTAGAAGTTGAAATTTCTGATTTAAAAAAAAGGAGCTATTTCAGACTAAACAGCTGTTCACAGGTCAGAAATTGTAGGACAACAGTAGTTCAAGCCCAAATTGCCTTTGTACCAGAGAATAGATCCTTCACCTGGATTGAGAAGTCCCCATTGGCGTCTCAATCCTCTGGATCTGGGATGGAAGGGCAGGCCTGGGAGGTGGAGCCAGTGGCATTCAGAGCCCTGGTGTTCGCGGTCCCGGCCACCAACTAGATTTGCTCTGTGCAAACTGGAAAGATGGATAGCAGCTTCTTCCCTGATCTCCAGTCTACCCTCAAGTCTCATTTGCCAGGCATATGGTAGGTAGGCACTATGGGCATGGCAATCTCAGATCCTGATAACAAAATAAGCAACAAGGTTTGGTTTGGTCTGGTCTGGTTTTTCTGGCTGCATCTTGGATGAATTCTTTTCACATCTGAGGAAAATAGGAAAGTCCCAAATCCCCACAAGCACACATACCCCTCAGTTTCCCCTTATCCTCACATTGTACCCAGGCTCAGCTCTGAAATTCAGTCATACACTCACCTAAAATCTCAGTTAAACTGCAGAGGAGACCTGGAGGGGTTGATGCAGGGGGTCCCTGTACAGCAATCTCATCCACTAGCCGTCATTGCTGTGCTGTGGACCCAGAGAAGACCCTACGGCTTTTTGCATCGCAGCCTGTGCATGGGTAAAATGAGGTGCTGGCCAAGATGCCTCATGACTTAACTTGCACTGCTCCTCTGTCGCTTCTCCCAGGAAATGGGTCAGGACACAGGATTATATTTCTTCACACCCTATCCAGGCAGATATCAGCAGGCAGCCTGAAGAAGGAGTCAGCAGCCTCTCTTGTATCTCAGGGTGATAAGAAGACCCCAGAAAGGAAATTCTGGTAGGAAAAAAAGAGACCAACTTTCTATCCAACCTGCACCAGCCCCTGGCATGCCTGTAGATATCAGGCCCAAGTCAAGCCAATGACATGGCCCTCTCAGCCACTGAGGACCCCAGAGCAGAAAGAGGTTACCCAGAATGCCCTTAGAAAAATCAGCAAGGACCTGTTATCAGTCACTGTGTGGTGGGAGGTAAACACCCCACAGGCAGGTGAGTTCTATTTGGTGTGTATTCTAAGAAATGAAGCAGGAAAAAAATGTAGCAAAAACAGGAGATTCAACACTTCCTGTAAAATCTAGTTGTGGTTGAATAAAAACAATAGAAGATCTGGTTGCACCAGGGACAAGTGCCTGGCTGGAGTCGTACAGCAGAGTGCCTCTGGATACAGGGCACACTCCCCAGCCCTTGCAAAGTTGTTAGTTTATTTTAGTGTTTTGCTTGTAGTAGAGAAACCTTTCTCTGTGCTCCCAAATCTACAAAAATTGAGAATATAAAACATATACCCAGAGGACTGTGTGTGTTTACCAGCAACTGGAGAAAATGTGTTTTTAGAAGTGAGGAATATTGCTAATGTTTATGATAGGAACTCCTTGCAAGTTCCATTCATTTACATTACCTACCTTGCTCCTAAGAGAATTTTTGTTGCTGTTGTTTCCTGTCCCTGAAAACTTGGAGAATAAAAGCACTAGATAGCCTGCAACTATTCATGCAAATCTTTCCTCCTCTATTGGGCATGATGGGATTACGTTGGGCCCCTATGTTGGCAGGAGGTCTATGATCCTTAGCAGAGATGTCTGCCTTATCACTTACAGCAGATTTAACAAACTGTATACACCAGGCTTTAGAGGGTTAGGAGAAACTAACACGTAGCTTGTTTACTTGGAGGATGAATAACATGAATTTCTATCATGGTCTTCATCTTTCATAGAGATAAAAAAAAAAAAATCAGGCTCAGAAAAGTAAGCAACCAACCCAAAAGGTAGAATTGGGCTATCCTCTGGTCTAGAAAGGATACTGGGAAGGTCTACCTCCTTTGTTCCTTTCCCTGAGGTAAGCAAGGTGACTCCCTCATGTCGCTGTTCCTGGTCTCTCAGCATGCAGGTAATATGTGCACAGATTAGCTCTGCAGCTTATGACCTCCTCTCAGCTGCTCCTGTGCCACGTCATCTATGAGATGAGACTGTCCAAGGACAGAGCCAGCTGGTGCCTGCAGCCTGATGGGATGGCCACTGCCAGTGCAGACTGATGGTGAATGCTGGGTCCTGGAGCCCTCAGAAAACCAGTTACTCATGGACAAAGACAACCAAAAGCTTCCACAGTTTTCTGCTTGGTTCCAAGGACGCCGGGCAAAGGAAAAGGGCAGATACTCATGTCACCTCTAAAGTGGACCTTAGACTTCTCTGACAGTATAATAACATGGTGCAGAGATGGAATACTCTCCTGACCCAACCCATGGTTTCATTTTCTGTGGATTCATTTACTTATAGTCAATACCAGTCTGAAAATATTAGAAAGAAAATTCCACAGATAACAAATTCATAAGCTTTAAATTATACACCATTCTGAATAGCATGATGAAATCCTGCACCATCCCAGCTAGGATGCAAATCATCCCCTTTGCCAAGTGTGTCCACATTGTATATGTTACCTGCAAGTTAATTTGCTTTTATAGTGATCTCAGCAGCTTGACTGCTGTGGTGCTTTTGTTGCTGCTATGGTGCTTTTGTTCAAGTAATCGTTATGTACAGCCTAATACTATATCAAAATGCCTGCCTCATTCACCTCACCTCATTTCAAGCATTGTTTCATATTACAGGAGCAAAGGTGAATCCTGTGTAAGATATTCTGAGAAAGAGACCAAATTTATATAGCATTTACAACAGTGTATGGTGGCAATTCTGCGTTATTAGTTACTGTTAATCTGTTACTATTTGCAATATAAACTTTGTCATAGGGATTCATGTATATAAAATAATATATGCATATATAGGGGTTGGTACTATCTGTGATTTCAAGCATCACTGGGGATATTGGAACATACCCTCTGGATGAAGAGAGACTATTCTATAAACATCCTAGAAAAAAGGAAAATTCACTGCATTGGCATTGGTGGGACTAAAGTACAGTTCAGGATGGGGACTCTGAAAGACTTTTCTCCATTCAGTCACTCATTCAGTTTGTTTTATAAATACCTACTATGTGCCAATAATGTAACAATTTCTCCAGTCCCTGCCTAAGTAACGTGATCTATGGTGATGCTTGTTTGCTAAGCATGAATCTTATCTGGAGAAAATGTTGAGAAAGTGTCCAGGCTTCTGAGGCTGAAGTTCAAAGTCAGGGTAGAAGGATCCAGTTCACCTGCTTTAGACTAAATGTCTATATCCTACCCCCCCACACACACCATATTCATACATTGAAAACTCAATCCCCAGGGTAACAGTATTTAGAGGTGGGGTTCTGAAGTAGTTAGATTAGGCAATAAGAATATACATTTGTGGCAAGATCAATGCCTTGATAAAGATGAAGACATTATATTTCTCTGTCTACCATGTGAAGATACAGCAAGAAGACAGCCACTTGCAAGTCTGGAAGAAAGTTCCACAAGATTAAAGATGGGTGAGCACTTTCATCTCGGGCTTTCCATGCTCCTGAGCTGTGAGAAATAAGCATTTGCATTTTAAACACTCAGGGTATAGGACTTTGATAACAGCCCATGATATCACACCTGTGAATTCCTTGACAATGAATTCACCAAATGATTTCTTTGTAGAACGACCCGATTTACTGCTAATACCAGTCAGAAGATCAGATCCAAAACTTGCTCACAGAATGATAGAGCCTCACTTTGTGCTGCAGGAAAGTTTAAGGATAGCTTAAGCTCCTGTGTCCTTACACTCTACTAAGCACTTAGGTATGTTGTTATTCATTTCAATCCCAGAATACCCCAAAGCAGGTTTCTTCAGACATATTTTATTGAAGGCATATGATGCTCAGTGAGTAAAGCACATTCAAGGTGACCCTGTTGGTAAGATATAGGCGGATTTCAGCTCGGGTCCTCTGGTCCCCCTCCAGCTCTGGACCTCGCATCTCTGCTGTGAAAGTCTGTGCTGGAGAAAGATTTTTGGTTACAGATTTGAATTGCCCTTGACTTTTTGAAATAATTTTAAACCAGCAAATATAGTTTCTACAACTATAATTCCCTTTTTTATGTGTTTATTTAAAACAAAGGTTGGCAAGGTATAGGAAGAAAGGAGGGAAAACAACGAAGCTAACATAGAAGTATATAGGAAGCATCTCAAACTGGTTTTTTTTTTTAGAGAAGAAAGCAAAACAGAAAAAAGGGTAGCAATAATACACAATTTCAAAAAAAAAACCAGTAAGAAATCACCATCACTGGTCATTGGGGAAATGCAAATTAAAACAGCATTGAGATTTCATCTCACTCCAGAAAGAATAGCTGCCATCAAGAAATCAACTGATAACAAGTGTGGGCAAGGCTCAGGGAGAAAGGAACACTGCTCCACTGTTGGTTGGAGTGCAGACTGGTGCAGCCACTGTGGAAATCAGTATGGCGATTCCTCAAAACAGTAGGAGTGGAAGTTCCATGCAATCCAGCTATTCCCCTCCTGGGTATTTTCCCAGAAAAATTGAAAAGGTCATGTCTCAGCGATATATGTGCACCCATGTTCATAGCAGTGCAATTTGTATAGCTAAATCTTGGAAACAACCCAAATGCCCATCAACCACAGAATGGATCAAACATTTTTAAAATACAGAAAATAAAAGGATACAGTGGAGGAAGCTATGTCTCATTCATATAAAACTGCTGACCTCGGTGATTATTCAGATCCAATCCTTACAAAATAGCATTTCAAGTCAGCACTTAAGCCAGTGTTATTAGTTTTTGTTCCAAAAAGTTAAAGCTATAAACTTCACATTTTGATATATTAGCAAAAGCATTGAAGCTTTTTATTTTTAAGTCCATTTTGGTCCGAGTGTAACCTGGTGAGTTTTTTGCCAAATGTAAACAGAAACATGGATTCCAAAGGCAAAGAACATAACCCTGATGAAACATAAACATAGAACTTAAGAAAGGATGGTATGTAGTGAGGGCGTGGATTGGGCAGGAACAATTCCCTCATAAATAAGGAGTTGAAATTTTCAATTGCAGCAAGGCTTCTTAGCAAGGACATTAGATAGGAACCTGGATTTAAATCCTGGCTTTCCTATATTCCAGGACATGGCCTTGAGCAAAAGACTTTACCTCTCTAAGCCTTCATTTCTTCATCTTCAAAATAAGGAGAATAATATCTGTGCCTCTCAAATTTGTTACATTTCTACAAATAAAGGGCTGTTTGGTTATCTACTTTTCCTGGAGTGAGCTTTAGTACTCTGTATTTTTTGTAGGAATTTGTCAGTTTAAATTATTGAATGCATTAGCATAAAGTTGTTCATAAGATTCTGTTATTAGTCTTTTAATATCTACAGGATCTATATTGATGTTATTTCTCTTCTGATGGTATTTTTATATGTTATAATAAATTTCTGAAATCAGATAGGTGCTAAATGAATGTTTACTGACTTGGAATGTATGGTTCCAAGTGATCAAGTCTACAATGCACACACTGCTTCAAAATACTGGTTCATTAGTTCATTCATGCTATATATCCTCTCACCCATCCATCCTCCTCCGTCTCCTCAGCCAAATTTTCATCTACCCAGTTGGTAGCTGAAGAAAAAAATACAGAGAAATAATAATAGAAAAGTACTTTAAATATACGAGTGGAAAAGCACTGAAGATATTTTTAAAGAGTGTGAGTCTTTTTAAAGATGCAATAGGTGTAGGTCATAATTTCTAGAGGTATAGAAAGCCTTAAACTTCCCTAGAAGCTTGAGACACAAATGCTTCAGCTCAATGAAAACAGAAATATCTCAAATTTAGTATTCAAGGAAAAAAATGACTTGGACTTGCGCCTTACCTTTCTGTCACTAGAAAACAAATATAGCTTGCCAGGAAAATGATCTGATCCAAAACAAACTGACTTCTGGCTGAAAGGCTTTGTCTAGCTAGACAGCTGTACAGCGTGTGTTCCTGAAGAGCACACCTGGAGTCACTTCTTGTATCTTCCATCTTCCAAATGACCAAGACACATCTGCTTTCAGTAAGACCCAAGTGACCTATTTCAGCTTGATGACTGGATTCTGACACACTGGAGGGGCGGGGGGAGATAGAACCACAGTTACACTGGGCAGAATCAAATATTTACACCCAAATTTTACTGTATATACAAATAACAACCAAAATTAGCATTTTGCCTTAACTCTAAGATGTGGGTAGTCTAAAATTTGGAAGTGTCTTAGCATCAGTGTGTAATTTTTTTCTCTTCCTCCCTCTTACTCCAAGGGAGCAGTGACCTTCAAGTCTGTCGATTCCAAAGCTGCAATTAAAATAATTGTATCTCTTAAAATCAATGCTGTCTTAGAAAGAGGAACTAAGATGCAGTGAATCTGGCCAGAAGACTAACTTGTCTCTATATGCTCAATGCCTTGTGTGCAATATTATTTTAATATATGTTTGTAAAAACAGCAGATACTTCAATAAGTTACACATTGAATTTTTTATTAGGGAAAATTTCAAGCACATTCTAAAATACAGAGTGTATACTTTACCCAGCTTGAATGATTTCCACTCATGACCTGTCCTGTTCCCTTTCTGCCCTAGATAAATTTTGAAACAAATCTCTCATGTCAGAGCATTTCATCACCAAATGTTTTAGTGTCTATCTAAAAAAGACAAGGCTTACCCTTTTTTAAAAAGCAAGGACAGCAACATCATCACCCCCTCCTAAAACTCCTAACAGCTCTCTAAAAACAACATTAATAAATTCCTTAATCATACCAAGCATCCATTTAGTATTTATACTTTCTCTGGTTATCCTATAAACAATCTCTATCACTGTCTTTTGTATTTTTGAGAGATTATTGTCCTTAAGTCTAAGTAAAGCCCATAGTTCTTTTGCTTTTTTTTTTTCTCCTGGTGTTTATTATTTTTGTTGATGTTAAAGAAACAGCACTTTTTGTCTGGTTGAGTCTTGACTTCAACTGATGGCATCCCCATGACATCATTTAACGTATATCATTTTTTCCATATTTTTGTGCATTGACATTTAAATCTGTAGGTCTGTGCAGATTTAGTTTGGTAGTTTAGTACAGTGCTTCCACCATGTAACACATAATGCCTGGTGTGGTGCCTGGTGGTCAACTTGTAACACCAGCTAAACAGAATCAGCATGGTGCTGAGCATGAATGGCCCACCTGAGGATTGCTGCCAGCATAAAAGGGAGAACTGGAGAGGAAGCAGTGGTGGTGTTAGTTCTCTTGGTTGTCGTTGGTTCTCATGTTGCTGTTGGTTCTTCTGGAGGAGCTTTTTGAGCTTCTTTCCTGACATGAACTTGGTTGTTCTCATTGTCAGAGGATCTCAAGACCTTAGTGTTGCTAATAATGGCTGCAGTTCATTTTGAGGGAGCGCTGGTCCTTACTTTGGAGCATCACTTCCTGGCTCCGGTGCAGAACACTCAGCCAGCTGGAGACAGATCATTCATCCTGCTGGCATAGACTTTCTAGCTTCCACTGCCGACCTTAGGGCCTTCCCAGAGCAGATCTGTGAAATAGACTTGAATGAGATATTGTCATGGGCTCTAAGTCTCCAGTTGGATTTGTAGGGGGCATTGTCAAGGGCTATAGGTCTTTGGTTGGACTCATGAAGGACATTACCATGGGATCTAAGCCCTCAGTTGAATTCTTTTGGGGCCTTAGTGTGTGGACAGCTTTCCAGCACTTTTTGTGCTTGACTCTTTGAGTCACTATTATAAAATAATTCTATGAATTATGTGTCCTGTATTAAAATGTTTTCCTTGCAAACCCTGACTGTAACACCTGGTCATGTTTTTGAATGTTACTAGTTTTTTGGTGATGATTTCTTAGGTCATATCCAGCACTTCATTAATACAACTGTACCATTTGCTAAAACTGCCTCAGAAATATACGTAGAAGATAATGAATCCGAGATAGTAGCTTTGTTACCTGTTCATTCTTAGGTGTGTTTTGGTAACAAGGAAAAACATTTCCCTCAAATAGGCCCAGTTGACAAGCTCCTCCACGACAGTGTGTTCCACAGTGACCTGAGAGTTGTGTGCCCAGCCCACCTCACATGAACAAAGCAGCATGACATGCAGTCATGCAGTCATTTCAGTGAGGCAAAAAAGGGTAAGGGGACTGCAAGAGTTTCTATAACAAAAGCGTTGCTTATAGTTTTAAGTGTATAGCTCAAACACTGAAACACGCACATAAAAATGCAACATGTGATTGCATCCAGCTCAGGAATTGTGTCTTCAGCCATCACTAGCACAGCATTTCTTACATAATTCTGCTACTTTTAGAACAACAAAGGAATCATAGATCTTAAGCAATAAGTTTTACCTCTGCTCACAGCCTTTCGGGAAAAGAGTGATGTGTATGGGTAGGCCTTCAAACAGACTTAAGTGGACCCGAGGTAGCTGTAGAGACCAGAATAGCCACTATTAGTTTGATTCCATTGGTCGCTTTCTTTCGACTCTAGCCATTTTTTCCTAGTACCGACTAACTTCATTGTGCTTTAGGCTGCATAGTCCTATGGGTGAGACAGGCATTCAGATGACCTGGTACATTACAGCAAGAGCTTTCTAACATTTTTGGTGCCATTTAATGAGTTTGATCATGAAAACGCTAACATGCAAGTGTGTATGTGAGTGTGATGTGATATATAGATCTATAAGTACACATATATTTTCTTTGAAACTAAAGTTTCATACTCAATCATCCTTGCTATGTGTGATATATTCTGGTACTCTCTTTTCTATTCTATTACTTTGTAAAAAAAAAAAAAAAAACAGTAAAAATGCTGGTTGTGACCCACTAAATTTATTTCAAAGAGCATAGCAGGTCATAACTTTCATCTTGAAAGCCACATCCTACAGGGAAAGTAGAGACTGAAGACATCAAAGTAAAGTTCTTTGGAGCCAGACTGATTCCAGCTGCTGAAATTAAGACTCATAAGAAACTGGAGCATCTCTACATTGTGAACTGGAACATAAACCAGAGCATGGCTGTATTTGTCACATGACAGGACACTGTATGACCAAGGTGATCAGACAGTCTTTTGCATGTAATTTGTATACAGGTTAAATCTGGAAGGTACATAAATACCCTCCTGAGAGCCTCCTGAGCGAAGCCCCCTGGCCCAGCAGCCCTGCCTCTCCTACGATAGCCTATATGATCATCACTTTGAACCAATAATCTCCCATCACATCAACCCAATTCTACTTTTCCAGCTTGACAGGATACTCTATGCTCTCTGAAGCCAAAAGGGGAGAGAATATTACCTCCAACACTGCAGCATGATGAATCTTTCTACCTTTAAATAAAGCCCTGCTCACAAAGCTTGTCTGCTGGCTTTTTGAGTGTCCTGTGACGGGAGAACTGGGTAGGAGATTAATAATGCTATTGCTATAGTCAACTATGTTGCCTTACAGTTTTTCACCTCTTTCCTTGTAAAGAGATTCCAGCTCCAGGGAAGAAAAAGAAAAAAGAGAAGAGGAAAGAAAAATCCACACACTATCAGTACGTTTACCCTTGGGATCAAGTCACTCAGATGGTGTTTTCACAACATAAATTGTTTATGCATTCTGCTAGCTTTTAAGATGTTTGGGCAGAAATCAAAATTTCCCTCTAGGTTTATTCAGTGCCAAAGCTTAACTTCCTCTACCACACACATACACACACAAAGATACACGCATGTGCACACTCACATTTATACACACAGATATTAACATATGTGGAAGTGATTTATATTACAGTGTTAATTTCCCACTTAGCAGGAGCACTGAGCTCTTTTTCCAGAATATGATCCACTTAATGTGTTACTGTATGAAGTTAATAATATTTTTGGTAACTAAAAAGAAAGAAAGAACCCATGAGTCATGAAAAATCCAAGAAGATTATTCTGATGTTTGTTTATCTTGAACTAAATTTGCAGAGAAAAAAAAATCAGTCTGGTAGCTAAAACTGCACACTCACATTCTTTTGTATGAGTTAATTATACTTAACTGCTCTGTAATGTCCTGATTAATTATTTCCCGTTCCAGTCAGTTGATTGTGCATTTTGATATGAAACCTGAATCCTGATGAGAATCTTGAACCTATTTCTCATCTTGCTTAAGGCCCCTGTGGAGCTGATCTGAACAACTAGCTTGAAATAGCCTGAATCTTCATCAGCGCCCTAGAAGAGTTAAGTCTGACACAGGTAGTGACAGGGGAACTGTATTTTTGGCTTGGGGCACGGGATCACCACTTAGCACAGGCAGAAATGAGCTGTGGTGGGGTACACTGCACTACTTGTGAGAAATGCATCTCTCTACTCTGCACAACACTGGTGAATTGTCTTACACCAGAAAGCTCTCCATGGTGTCTAGAGTGATCAGGACACTCAAAGACAAGACTGCCAGATGAGTCTTTAGAGTTAGGAGAAGCCAAGTATATCAGTTTCCCATTGTAGCAACCCCCAAATTTAGTGGCGTAGAACAAAACAAGTCTGTTAGCTTATAGTTCCATGTGTCAGAAGTCCTGGGTTTCTTCTAGAGTCCTGTGTTCTTGTCTTTTCCAGTTGCTAGAGGCCTTCATTTTCCTAGGTGCATGACTCCTTTTCCAACTTCAATGTTGGAATATAATCTTTAAATCTCTGGCCTCTTCTTTTTCGTTTTTTTCCTGCCTCTTTTTCCCCTTTATATGGGCCCTTGTGACTTCACTGTGTCCATAAGATCTCCAACCTTCTCCTCAACCCCAAATTTTTGTCTTCATCATATTTGCAAGTTTCCTTTACAGTGTAAACTCCATGTTCACAGGTTCTAGGAATTAGGATGTAGATGTCTTTGGAGAACATTATAATTTGAATACCTCCTTCAAAGCCTATGTTGAAACTTAATTGTCAGTGTAATGGTATAGCGAGGCAGGGCATCTGAGGGATGATTAGTCTATGACTCGTGGGTGAGGTTAATGTCTTTAAGTAAAGTGGTTTGTGGAGTGGGTTCTCCTTCACACTTTGCTCTCTCACCCTGTGATACCTCTCACCGTGTTATGGCCCCCTCAAGATGTAGCCTCCCAACCTTGGACTTCCTAGTCAAGTAACATATGGTTTGTAATTTGCCTAGTCTGTGATATTCAGTTGTAGTAATACAAAATGGACTCAGTCAGGGACTGTTAAATTCTGCATGCCACCCTATATAGACAGACTGAGCAGAGCTCAGTAGGTAAAGACTGAGCCTTGGTATGCTCCCACCCCTGGCTCAGAGTAGTGTTGAGCCAAACCCTTGCAGGCAGTGGGAGAGGGAGTCAGGAGGTCTGTGGTTGTGAATTCTAAGCTTCATAAAATGATATAAAGATGCCCCAAAGCTTCCCTGCTTCTTCTCTGGCTACAGACTAACTTCCATTCTGTTTCCCCTAAAACCACAAAGCCATATTTACTTGGAACTCAGACACAACTCAAATCTCTTAGTCCATTTTGTGCTGCTGTAACAGACAACTTGAGACTAGGTAACTTATAAAGAACACAGATTTATTTCTTACAGTTCTGGAAACTAGAAATCCAAGGTCAAGGAGTGCATATCTATTAAAAGTCTTCTTGAGTTATCTTATGGCAGAAGGGTAAGAATGTACATGCAAGAGAAGAGGCCCAAACTGATGCTTTGATAGGAAATGCACTCTGGAGATAACCCTTCCTAGTGTAAGAGCATGAATCCATGAGTTCCTCCCCCATGACCAAAGTGCTTCTTCCTATCAAATCCCACTTCCAAGCACTTCCCAACACTGGTGCCCTGGGATCTGTTTCCACATGTGAAGTCTGGGAGACATATTAAGACTATGACACCAAGACACCACTTTAGTGTACAAGTGTAGGTAGGCCTGAAGGGAGCAGGAAGGTGCCCCTAAGATTCTGAATTTAATGGTTAGGGTTGCTCCTAGGGTTAAATTATAAAAATCAACACAGATTGTTTTGTAAAGTTATGCAGTAAACAGGTTAATCTCAGGTCATGGGTAGCGCACACATACTTTTAAAGGAGAGTGTAAGAATCGAGAGGGTTAATGAGGTTGGGAATAAAGACGCACAAAGAGGTCACTGTGGGTCACCATCTTACCTTATCCCTTTTCCTGACAAACCCACTGAGCTTGTTCCCACAAAAGATGAAGGCAGGATACACTAAAGCTTAAGTCTATAAACTTTAGGTCATGTAAGTCTCTGTACTTTCCTCTGATTCCAGGCTCAGTATGAAAACCTAGTTTAATTAAGCTTCTCAGGGAGCCCCCTACACAGACAGATAGGCTGTCAGTCTCAGATGAACTTGACAGACAGACTCTGTTTCTCATAGAAAATTAACAAACCGGCATGTTGGCTTGCATATATTCATGTTTTGGGAGTTTAGTTAGCATGAGTCAGCACCTCCAGGCTGTCAATCTCTGGTCTGTGTGACAGATATTCTAATTTCTCATGAAAATTAACAAACATCTATGAAGGTTTATATTTATTAATGCATTACAAGGTAGCTTATTATGAGTTCATATCAACTCTGATCAGCTCCAAGGTCCCTGTAAGATGAGCAGCAATGAATATCATCACACTGTTAAGTTCCTCAGCCTCCACTGATTTATGCTCTTAAGAATCCTGCACTCCCTTTCTTGCAGGTCACCCTCATTTGCCATCTATCTGCCCCGTCATGAAGGGGATCAGGTTTGTTTTGCTCATTCTTGGATGGCTGCTGCCAAAGGCTTGGCACAAAGTAGGTGCCTGATAAATGTCTGCTGAGCCAATAAATAAATGGATGCTGTCCTGACCTCTCCTTGTGTCTCTTTTTCAGCCACTAGAGAGTGGAAAATGGATGCTAACACAACAAAAGATTGAGGAGTAGATATTATAAATTAAGGGAAAGGTCACATTCAAGATAAGATGGAGGGTGCTTTGTGGAGTTAACAGGAGCCTGTCTTCCCAGGAGCAAGCGAGAGACATCCCATTAGGTCAGACTGTCACAGGACAAAGCAGCAGCAGTGACAGGGCTGCAGTGAGGCATCTCTAACAAACAGCTGAGTGTTTCTATTTGAATTTCCTGACATTAACACAACTCTGCATGTCCCAAAGAAAGCTCATCATTTTTTAAATCTCAACTTCCAAGCGTCCCTATTTCTGGGTGTCTCCTAGTTCTCACTTCAGAGTTATTTGAAGTGTCCCAATGTTTACACCAGTTAACAAATAGACAACTCATATAGGTCTCTAACATCACCATGGCCTTAATTCCAAGTCCCATCCTGCCCTATGTCTGAGTAACTACAGCAGCATTCGTACTGGTGCATATATATATATATATATATATATATATATATATATATATATGTTTTTTTAAACAAACACCACTTTCATAACCTCAACTCCTGCTGCTTCCACAGTCCCTTTGAAACTCCTTCAATAGCTCTC